AACAACCAGCTTCAGCAAGTTAGCATTTCAGTTCTTCTGCTCTTTAACCTAGAGATTGAGAAGCAGGTTTATATCATGTCTAAACTCCCTTGTAGGGTATGTGAAAATCTGCATTTAACAAAAAGATAAACAAGTAAACAAATATTTGTAGTAAATTAGTCTCATAAATGTATAAAAAGATTCTTCTACTTTTGAAGCTCCTAAGAAATAATTATATGCTCTTTACACGTTATTACTTAACAGCATATAGAAATAGATGTTTGTTGAATGAATGGGAAAAAATAGGTAAAATTCCCTCAAACATTTAAAAGCTATTGGTGGTTAAAATGATTTAGACAAGTTTCAAAAACATGCACGCTGGATAAAATCAGGTTCATCTCTAGGTCCATGGAGAATTTCACTGGACAGAGTGTTCAAACAAAACTTCTAAGCGAAAGAGAAATAATTCATTATCCAGAGTAAGTTATAGGGACTAAAGCAGAACACAAAACATGGAACATCTTATATTAGTATAATTGAAAAAATCGTCAGGTAGTTTCCAACGTAGCATCATTCTGCTTTGTAAGAACAGCTGTTACAAAAGAGAGGCACCAAGCCACCAGTCTGTGGTGGCGGTGCACCTCTCATCTTTTCCCCGTAGTCACAAGGGCCATGTGAATTCCTAGACTCAGCAAACCTACACCACGTGGGCAGTGTGGGGACTACGCCTTCCTTCCACCAGCTGCTTTGCTCTTTTGTTATTTCTTTCACCTTTATCCTTTCTTACTAATCCTCTTCTCCCTCTGCAAGATTCCATGTGACTTCACTCCCATGTGACCTTATTCTCTGGCCTTAGCTGACCCAAGCAAGGGCAGTTGGTTGAACAGATGAGTTGGGCTGAGTAGAGTTTTCTGGTGGGAATTTGGAATTTGCAGAATTGGAGACTGAACTGGTTGATGTTGGGAACTGCTGCCAGGCAGATGAGAACCTGTAGGACCTGTAGGTCCTGTGGAGTCAGAAGCCCTGTCTCCCAGTGAAAACGATGGGTGAGGAAGCACTGGAAGGGGGGAGGGGGGAGAGAGTGGGGAGAGAGACCTGGAGGACGGGAAGGAAGGAGGGACAGACGGAGTACGTGTCTACCCTCGACTCTCATCCCCTGCCCTTTGCTCTCTCGAGGCCGGCTACTTTACTTCCTTTCCTTTGGTTGTCAGGAGATTCTTTTGTATCTGGCAGCAAATGTTCTGTTTCTTGCACTAGCTTGAATGGTCCTTTATTTCTTGGAACCAAAATAACTTTAATTAAAACACTTCAGAGTATCCCCCCATCCCCACCCCACTCCGCAGTGCTAACTATTCTCTGTGGTCAACACGACATGATACTTAGAAAATTCATACTTTCTTCATAAAAGGCTTTGAATATTTAGAAGAAAAAAAGTGCATCCATTTAGCACTACTCATGCACTGCATGTATTCGAACCACTGTGACAAAGCTGGACTCACCCACTTTTAACCTGCCAGTGACCTCCCCTTCTGAGTTGCGCGCATTTACAGTCACATTCTGAGTTGACTGTAGAAGCAGAGATGAGTCCTACAAAAGGATTTACAAAATTAGTAAAATATATACTATTGAAAATGATTATATCTTTATACTTGTATGTAAATTTAGGATTAATATAAAATAATTTCTCCATAATCACAGATCCTGGGATCCTATAAATTTGTGACTATTAAAAAATTCTGGATTATGTTAAGAGAGTAAAGGGTATTAATCTCTTGTTCCCATAAAATATAATAATACCACCGGTTTGTAGTGTCTGTGCAGTGCGCCGCTTGGGAGTGCGGTGGCGCTCCCGCCGAGGGTTCGGATCCCACATACAGACCGGTTCCCGCTCACTGGCTGAGCGAGGTGTGGGAGCAACACTGAGGGTTGCGATCCCGTTGCTGGTCCCAGTCCGCTACGGGCGTGACACTGAGGGTTGCGATCCGTTGCCGGACACGAAAAAAGACAAAAAGGGGGGAAAAAAAAAAAAAAACACTTCAGAATATCCCCCATCCCCACCCCACTCCGCAGTGCTAACTATTCTCTGTGGTCAACACGGCATGATACTTAGAAAATTCATACTTTCTTCATTAAAGGCTTTGAATATTTAGAAGAAAAAAAAGTGCATCCATTTAGCACTACTCATGCACTGCATGTATTCGAACCACTGTGACAAAGCTGGACTCACCCACTTTTAACCTGCCTGTGACCTCCCCTTCAGGGTTGCATGCGTTTACAGTCACATTCTGAGTTGACTGTAGAAGCAGAGATGAGTCCTAAAAAAGGGTTTACAAAATTAGCAAAATATATACTATTGAAAATGATTATATCTTTATACTTGTATGTAAATTTAGGATTAATATAAAATAATTTCTCCATAATCACAGATCCTGGGATCCTATAAATTTGTGACTATTAAAAAATTCTGGATTATGTTAAGAGAGTAAAGGGTATTAATCTCTTGTTCCCATAAAATATAATAATACCACCGGTTTGTAGTGTCTGTGCATACTGTTTACAATGTGCCAAGTCAGTTCTCAAGGTAAAGATCTAAAACCGCCAAGGTTTAATCATTGCCTTTGCATTTTAAAGGAATTACAGTTCCAGTTTTTGCTATTTATGTCCAGGACATAAAATATTTTAAAAAGATAAATTAGAGAATGGTTAACTCTTCTATAAGGAATATGTTATTTTCAAAACGCAAAGACTTCTGACAATTTCAAAACAGCTTTTAAAATTTGTTGGATGCCTATGTCTTTGAACTTTTTGTTGGAAGATACACATAAGTGATTTCTGAGTTACTATAATTCTGAATGGGTGGTTTTGTTTTACAGATGATTGCTTGCTTTTATATAAACAATTTCCTTCAAAATTAATGCAGTAATTTGGTTGTTGGATGCAAATGGGTTTATGGGTTTATGGTTCACTCAGACAAAACCAAATATCTCCAAAGTCGTAGGGAATAATGTGATATTTTCAGAAGGAAAGAAGTTTTAAGAGCCCTTGAGAATGTCAGAAATTCTCCAGCTTGCTTTATTGAAGCAGACAGAACTATCAGTGTCTTAGATTTTTATCCAGTGATGTGACGTTAATATTTGGTTTTGCACTGTTAGAAAATAACTAACCTGACAGTAAGAGTTAACAATTCACGAATAATTTTAGCATCAATACTCTCATTTTATCCTCCACATTATGAAGGAAGAACCTTATTCTTAACATGGACATAAGGAAATTGAGTTCAGAGAGAATTTAAATGACAGCTGGAAGTCACTCGCAGCTAGCAAATGACAGTCCCATGGTGGAATCCAATCTTTAGACGCCACTCCCCTGCTCTTTCCTACCACAGTCCTGGAGTGGGAGGACAGGGCTCAGGTTAGACCTGTGAGATCCACCCCAAGCCTAGACAAAGTGAGCTATTCGGGGATTCACTTCTGTGTGTCTGACCCCCCTCTTGCTCTGCCTTCCCCTCTAGGGTTGGGAGAGCTCGGTGCTGGCTCTCCCAGCCTGTCCTGCAGCAAGGGGTACTCCAGTGACACAGTTCTGGTCAATGAGACGCAGGCTGGGATCTGCGGGAGGTGGGGGGCGGTTTCTAGGCTTTTGCTCTCCTGGTGAAAGGGACGCGTGCACCAGTGCCACATGTTTCCCAGTACGTGCCTTGGCTGCGGCCCAGCTGTCGTCCAGTGACCACGAGGGGCGGGCGCTGGCCCCGGCACTGCTGAGAGCTGCACCGACGCTGCAGCTGCTCCCTCCGGCTCCTGCCACCTTCCGCCACCGCGAGCTGGGCCTGCTCCGTTCACAGTGCAAAGCGCTCAACCGACAGTGGCAGGCCGGGAGCTGCTGTGTCTACAGGACGACGAAGTGACGCCCACACTCTCCGTGTTACCTGAGCGAAGCTCCTACTGAACTGCACTTGCTCTCTAGTCTACGTTTTTAACAGCAGACACCTTAGAAAAGCAATCGTGGTGGTTATTGTGAGGTACGGGGGCATTACTTGCATTTCTAGATGAGGAAACTGGGATCTGCGGATTATGAATGAGTTTTTCAGTTTTCATAATTAGCTAGTGATGTCCCTTTAAAAAATTTTTTGCCATTTAGAGAATCATGGCAAGGTAGAAAAGAGATAATTTTATTTTTCTATTTATCTCAATTGAATTCTCAACGTATTTATTTGAAACAATATGTCACTCACACTATATTTAGGCCTTAGGGAGTAGATGAGAGTCACAGGACCTGGTGTCTTTTATCAACAGTGTGTGACCTATACAGGGGGCTATGAGAGAGGTGCGGGAAAGACCATTAACAATATAAGGGCGTATTTGGTAGGGCCCAGATATAGATCAAAGCTGCCATAATAGTTCCTGATAATCCCCCGTGGCCACTCCATACACTCGTATATGCATAATTAACTACTTCAGATTCGAACCTAATAAGGGAATGGCAGAGACTGATTTAGCTACTGAAGCAGCAGGCACATGTAAAGAACTCTGTCCAGCAGTATATGGAAAATTATATTTATTGTCATATAGTTATTCATAACATTCCCTTACCATTCTCTGGATGTCTGTGGGACCCATAGGAGTGTCCCCTCACCATTTCTGCTATTGCTAATTTGTGTCATCTTTTCTTAAAAT